AGCAGCAGAGCATTTACTAGGGCTCGTAAAAAAACTCGGGTTGGCCTGACGGGGCCATCATAAAAGATGGCGTTGCCCAATCTGGAATTTGACGCGAGCTCCCGCTGCAAACATGCCACGAAAACTAGACCGTCAAAATCCAGGACGCGCTCGTCAAAAAAATTCGGCTAACCCGAGTTCCGGCTTACTCGAGTCTTACGTCTCCCCGATCTGAGAATGCCTTCTCCTCCTCACTTCCCCCCTCGCTCGCCGCCGAAAAAGAGCAGCGGCGAGAGGGCGGCGGATCGCTCCCGACGCCTCCCGCCCACAGACGACGACGACGACGACGACGACGTTTGCCCGACATGAAATCTGAGGAAGCATCACGGCGCACGCCATGATATCTACCCGCCCCAGTCATCGGCCGCCCTACCAAGCTCTGCGAGGGCCCCCCGAGGGCCACCAGACTGGGCGAAAACGCCCAGCTCGAAGGAGTCGAGACGCAGGGAGGAGATGGAGGAAGAGGAGGAGGAGGGCGGAGGAGGAGGAGGGGGAGGAGGAGGAGGAGGAAGAGGGGGAGGAGGAGGAGGAGGAGGAGGAGGAGGAGATGGAGGAGGAGGAGGAGGAGGAGGAGGAGGAAGAGTAGAGGAGGAGGAGGAGGAGGAGGAGGAAGGAGGAGGAGGGGGGAGGAGGAGGAGGAGAGAGGAGGAGGCGGAGGAGGAGGAGGAGGAGAGGAGGAGGAGGAGGGAGTCCGAGGACCACACCTGGAGCACAGCGCAGAGCCGCCGCGGCGCCGCTGGCCGCGCATGGGGGCGCGCGCGCGCGCGGGCGCCCGCCGCGGGCCCGCGCGGGTCCTTCTCCTCCTCCTCCTCCTCCTCCTCCTCCTCTTCCGATTAGTGTTAGTATTATTCATACTGCCATTCTTATCATTAACATTATCATTCGCAAGATGATTCATATTGTTTGTCTTCGAGTTGTTCTTGAAATGTTATGCATGGTATTATTATGCGTAGTACCCTTATGATTAATATGATGAGCATTGTTTGTTCCTTATGATTACGAATACTAACAGCAGTAGTAGTCTCCTTACAATGACTATGCATTATTATTCGCATTAGAAAAATTAGTCTTAGTATCCGTCGTAGTATTGTCATTATTACTGTCATTAATCGTCAAAGTATGATTACTGTTGCTCATATGATTACGATAATGCGTATCATGATGCCTCTTAGTATTGGGATTGTGTGTCTTATGTTTATGTGTTCATCTTCTTAGTATGCTGAATATTATTATTGGTAATATAAGTACGATTATGTTTAACCTGATGATCGTTGACCGTACTCTTGCTATTGATATTGTTCGTAGTATGGTGTTTATGTTTACTGGAAGCCGTCTTAGTTTGATTATTTGTCTTGTTTTACTTATTCATAGAATCATTCGCATACTATTATTATTAGTTTCTTACTATTCGTATGACTATTGCGATTATCATTCGTATCCGTACTATTATTACTCTTATGGCTATGTTACCAATCGTACTATTACTACTCTTCTTATCATGAGCCTACTAGTATTATTCTTGCTCTTATCCATGAAATGATTGGCCTTACTTTTCCTATGAATATTATGATTAGTATCATTATCATGATTACAATTATTACTATCAACATTATTCCTCCTCCTCCTCCTCCTCCTCCTCCCCCTTCTCCTCCTCCTCCTCCTCCTCCTCCTCCTCCTCCTCCTCCTCCCCCTCCTCCTCCTCCTCCTCCTCCTCCTCCGCGCCCGAGGCCTCCGAGGGGCGCCGAGCCGGAGCCTCGAGGGGCAGCCGGCGCGGCCGGCGCGCGGCCGGCGCGCGGCCGCAGCCCGCAGGCGGTGCCAACAAAGGGCGCGTCGCTTCGCGCGAAGCGCGAGCAGCTTCGCGCTCTCGCGCCGCCCCCCAAGGGGGAGAGGAGGAGGAGAGGAGGAGGAGGAGGAGGAGGAGGAGGGGGAGAGGAGGAGGAGGAGGGGGAGGAGGATAAGGAGGAGGAGGAGGAGGGGGGGGAGGAGGAGGGGGAGGAGGATAAGGAGGAGGAGGAGGAGGATGAGGAGGAGGAGGAGGAGGAGGAGGAGCCGAAGCGCGGAGCGCGGAGCGCGAAGCGCGAACTCGAGGGCGCCGGTGGGCTTGGCGCTGCCTTAGACAGGTGCGCTCTGAGTGCGTCCAGCCGCGGCCAGAAGGAGAAGCGCTTCGTCGCGAACTGCAGGCGGTGCCCTGATGCCTCCGACGCCGCCGGCAGCGCAGGGCCCCTTTCCAGGGGCGGCGGGTTTTCCGCCCCGGATTGTTGCATGATAATCCAGGGCTGGACGCCAGGATGGAACGAATGGCGTCTTCGGAGGTCTGCCCCTGGGGCCCTCGCCGAGCCCCAGGACCTTCAAACATCGGCTCGTGATGAAAACCGGCCCTGGTGAAAAGCCCAGACATCCGTCCGCTCCAAAGTTTCGATGCGTGGGCCCTGGAGGTCCGGGCCACTTCCCCAGGGCTGGTTTTTCGTCCCGATGCAAAATGTCCAAAAGACGCCGGACGCATTTGGCGTGGAAGCGTCCAGTCGCTGCCGGTCAGCTTTGAAGAGCTTGCTGAGAACGCAGGCGTCGTACATAGAGTATTTGCGCATCCAACCGATTGAAGAGTGCGACCAAACCTTGAATGCCCCAGTCGCTTCTCCCACGCAGATAGCCTGGATCCGCCGCGGGGAATCTACGATGTCGTACGTGGAGGCGACTATGTACTTTTCGAACGTTTGCGAGCACAGGGCAGTTTTTAATACATTGGATGTTTATAAAAGTATAGGAGTCAAATGCATGATTAATGTATGAGTAGATGTTTGCATGAACTCATCGTTGTTTGTAGTACTAAATCCCTGCATGTTTAATACATGATCCGCACGCGGAGCATGTATGAAAAACGGCACTGTAAGTGCTTTGCGAGCAGTGGAGCGCGCTCGGTGAGCAGGGCGCGGAGCGAGCGGGCGTCCGCGGGGGCGGCGGGGCCCGGACGGCTGGCGCGGGCAGGCTGGAGCCCTCCATCTGCAATGGTGGGTGTTCTCGACCGCTGGTTTGCGGCCGCCCTCCATGTCTCCTCCTCCTCCTCCTCCTCCTCCTCCTGCATCGTGGCAGAATTCGCTTCAACGGCATCCCCGCTGTCATTGCTCTTCCGCCAGCGCAGTTAGTCTGCCTAGCCGCCGACGTAAAAAAATGTTCTCGACCGTTGGTGGTGTGTGCTGTGTGTGCTGCAGAGGCGCTGTGTCGCAGCTGCTCCATGTCGTATTGCCTTGACCGAGTGTGAGCCACACGACCCCCGCACATCCCTGAGGCCCCCGAAGGGACGTCCAGATGGGCCCGACGAGAACCCACACAGAGTCTTGAGAGAGTCCTAAGACACGTCGATATGTTCTGCCACACACGCGCGTCTAGGCTACACCTCCCAACACTCACTGATTGGGAGAGCTGCGTGCTGGTTTCCACCTTGGGGCCCGTCCCGCTGTGACCCCCGCTTTGCCGGCTTACTAATTGCTGCCTCCCGCTGTTGACAATGCCAGAATGGAATAACGAGGTTGACCATCCGAGGCTCCTGATCTCACCGTCCCGCGCGCCCATTGAGACATCAGTCACCTCCACATCATCCGTCTGCCCCGTACAGATCTCAACCAGGCCCGACACACATGCCCAAGACAAGCTCCAAGAGAGGACCCAGCACCGAGACACCGGTCATAAGGATTCCCCGACAGCCTGCCCACCATCCCCCGTCACCCCCTGGCCTCCCTGACCCCTCTGCCGAATCGGAATGCGACAAACATCGGCCTGCGACCACGATTAGGTCGGGCATGTCCCCCTAAAGGGGATTTTGGATGAAAAAATCACAATACCCCAAAAATATTCAAAAAACTCAAAAAATGGTCCCCTGACTTTTTTGCTACTATTTTTGATTATTCCTCCTGTAGAGGGACAGGCCCGACTTAAGACCACGAGTCCCGTGAATGCACGAAGCTGCTCTTTGCGTGCCAGGAGTGCCACGGGCGCGCCCGCGGCTCGTTCCAGGCTCACCTTGACCACTTCAGGTCCAAAGAGGGTGCGCGGAATCCGGTGCGGATGTTCGCGCGCGTGCCCTTCATGTCTCACGACATTTTCCGCGAGGATGCGGTGGATCGCCCAGCATTGGCGAGAACTGACACCCCGGGCAGGCCGCAGAGACGGGTGTCTTGCCAATCTCGGCGGCGAGCGAGGGGGCAGTGGGAAGGAAGGGGCCTTCTCAGAAGGCGGCGGGGCTTCTCAGAAACCCTCCAGCCTTCTGAGAAGTTTCCTGCGTCTTCAGAAAAGAATCAAGAAGCTTCTCAAAGGCCGGGGGACTGCCGAGCCTTCTGAGAAGGCCCGCCCATTGTCACTTCCCTCCAGGCTGGTCGTCGACAACTTCCACTCCATGGCTCAGGGAGAGACGGACGCGTTGGATGGACGCCTCGGGAACGGCGGCTCGCGCACAAATCCAGGCGGAGACAACCAAGGAGCCAAGCTTCAGCTGCCAGACCTGGTCACCAGGACAGACGCTTCTGCGATTGCGTCCGCATCCGTTGGTTGCGCTTCGCTTGATTCGGTGTACGACGTTCGGGATTGGCCTGTTTTCGCTTGATGTGATGCGCGTCGCTTGCAGCATGCCGCCGGCGAAACAAAGAGGGGGGGAGGGAGGGAGGGAGGCTTGCGGTCAGGGAGGGGGGATCAGACAGGAATGGCATGGCCAGCGCGGCGGTGGTGTCCAGATGGGTGCGGAGGAGGTCGCGCGGGCTGACGAGTGCCCCCATCTCGTGCACGCTGGGGCCGCTGCGGGACCCCCTCCCCGCCACCTCCCTGACCCCGACGACGACGACGACGACGACGACGACGACGACGACGACGACGACGACGACGACGACGACGCCGACGCCGACGACGACGACGACGACGCCGACGCCGACGCCGACGACGACGCCGCCGCCGCCGCCGCCGACGACGACGACGACGACGACGACGACGACGACGACGACGACGAGGACGAGCGGCAGCGAGGCGCGGCCCTCCCCGCGCACAGGTCCCCCTTGCGGGGCCAGCGCCTCCAGGCGCTCGGCCAGCTCCGCCCGGAGGCCCGCCGCGAGCTGGGGAGGGCGGGCGCGCGGGCAGCGAGGGGGAGGAGGAGGAGGAGGAGGAGGAGGAGGAGGAGGAGGAGGAGGAGGAGGAGGAGGAGGATGAGGAGGAGGAGGAGGAGAAGGGGGAGGAGGAGGAGGAAGAGGAAGAGGAGGAGGAGGAGGAGGAGGAGGAGGAGAGGAGGAGGAGGAGGAGAAGGGGAGGAGGAGGAGAGAGGAGGAGGAGGGGAGGAGGAGGAGGAAGAGGAAGAGGAGGAGGAGGAGGAGGAGAAGAAAGAGGAGGAGGAGAAGGAGGAGGAGGAGGAGGGGGGGGAAGAGGAGGAGGAGGAGGAGAAAGAAGAGGAGGGGGGGAGGAGGAGGGAGCTGGGGCGGCAGCCCTCGCCTCGTCGCCTGGGGGGGGGGGGCGCGTAGGGCGACGTTTCAGGTCGGCAGCGCAGGGGATCCTCAGGCGCGGACAGCAGATGGAAGTGACAATTGCGATCGAGCATCGTCGAAGACACTGTACACAGACGTGCACACTGTCAAATGCAGCGATGGGTCGGGGGTAGGGCGACGTACACACCCACCCACGCACATCAATACGGTCACCCCATCCGCGAGAGTGGCCGCGTGATACGAGCGTTCGCGCAATGCGTACTCACGAAACCAACGTGGAGTCATGTACGTATGTGTACGTCCGTCCTTCGCTCCTGAGCTGACGGCAAACGCTGATGGCAATCACGACGACTGGGCGGCGCGCACAACGGGGTAGGGGGAGGGGGGAAAGCTTCTTAGAAGGAGGGTGCTCCTTAGAAGGCGCTGGCCCTGCATCCATAGACAAGGCCCGCGCCTTCTAAGAGGCAGGGATGCTTCTAAAAAGCCTTCTCCCCTCCCCCTACAAAGAGGGCCCGTCCACAAAAAACCTTCTACAAGAAACCCAACCCTGAGACCCCGGCACACCCACTGATGTTTGGTATGTGAACGACGCGGTTCCCATATCAAAACCATCGAAACCCAAGAAACCTAAGGCACCCTGGAGGCAGGCAGGGTGTTTCTTGGCATGGGCCTGCACTGTACCCTCCCTCTGCGCATGGCCAAGCATGCTCGCGCCTTCAAACTATCGGGACGGGAGGTCTTTTGGGGCACCTCGGGGCCCATCACCTGCCCGCGGGGCCGTCGAAGAGCGACTCGGGATACAAAAAAAAACGGTCCCAGAGAAAGGGCTGGGACTTCCGGGGACCCCGCACTTACAAATCCTCCTCCCCCTCCTCCTGCTCCTCCTCCTCCTCCTCGTCCTCCTCCTCCTCCTCCTCCTCCTCCTTCTCCTCCTCCTCCTCCTCCTTCTCCTCCTCCTCCTCCTCCTCCTCTTCCTCCTCCTCCTCCTGCTCCTCCTCCTCCTCATCTTCCTCCTCCCCCTCCTCTATCAGGACACTGCATGCCTGCGTATACATGTCCACCGCCGCTGGCCAGGCCCATCCTGGGCCTGGCCAGCGGCGTACATGCCCTCTGTCCTGGCGAGGTAGGCACGCACATACACCGCTCCTGGGACCAGGATAGGCCTGGCCAGCGGCGGTGGATATGTGTAGATCCCGTCGCCCTAGAAAAGCGGATCCAGGAGGCAAGCGGCGGACGACGACGGACGGCGACAACGACCACGACTGGACCCGCCGTCCTCGTCCATGTAGCTGGCCACGAAGAAGCTGCTGCCGTCGGAGCCCTGCATGAGCCGCGGGAGGGCGGGGAAAAGAAAGGGGGACGGAGGACCTCCACATCCCCAAACGTTCTCAAAGGTTTTCGCAAACTTGTGGAAGCTGCGTTGGTTTGGGCGGTTCTCTCGACTGGGGATGCTTGCCAGCAGCTGCGCCCCGCCGAGAGCGCTCGGGGGGGGCCCCAATGGCCCCGAACGGCCGCTGAAGACTCAAGCTGTGGTCCGAATACCGACCTCCTCGAGTCGTGAAAAAAATCCCGACGCCAGAGATTTGACCCTTTTCAGCCTTCCGGGCCTGGCCCACGGACGGCTCGGGACAAGAAACGCCCCCCACTCCCTCGGGTCCAGACCCCTGGGGGGCCACTTTGCTACAAAAAACAATGCGTCGGATGTCCGGGACCGGCCCCCATCCCCTGCTCTGCTCGCTCGCCCTCCCTCCCCTCCCCCTCCTCCCCCTCCCCCCTCCCTCACCTGCCCTCCCCATCCCCATCTCCGCAACCGTCTGCCCCTGCTCTGGCTTGCCCTCCCCCCTTCCCTCTGCCCTTGCTTGCCCTCCCCAGGTACGCCCCCCTCTCTCTTTCTCTCTCTCTCTCTCTTTTTCTTTCTCTCTCTCTCTCTCTCTCTCTCTCTCTCCCCCCCGCAGCGCTGCGGAAGCGTCTCCCACAGGCGCGCGCCGCGACGCGTCCGCCGCGTGGCCGCGCGGGCTAGGCCGAAGCGGGGCCGAGACCGTTCCTGAGAAAGCACGGGGGAGGAGGAGGAGGAGGAGGAGGAGGAGGAGGAGGAGGAGGAGGAGGAGGAGGAGGAGGAAAGAGGAGAAGGGGGAGGGGGAGGAGGAGGAGGAGGAGGCGGAGGAGGCGGGAGGAGGAGGAGGAGGAGGAGGAGGGGAAGGAGGGGGCGAGGAGGAGGAGGAGGAGGAGGAAGAAAAAGAACAGGAGGAGGGGGAAAGCCACCCACGCCCTCCAGCCAACTCCGTGCCGTCTCGACCCTCCACTGTCGGCCGCGTCCCTTCCCCCCGGCCCCCGGCCCCTGGCCCTCGGCCTCCCCTCGCTCCGGCTCCTGCCCGCGGCGCGGGACGGTAGATGCTCAGGACGAGGAGGGGAGGAGGGGAGGAGGGGGGAAGGGAAGAGGAAGGGGGCAAGGAGGGGAGGAGAAGGCGAGGAGGGGAGCAAGGGAGGAGGATGGCGAGGAGGGGAGGAGGGGTCAGGGGGAGGAGGGGAAAGAAAGAGGAGGACGAGAATGATGATAAGAGTTGGTGATGGTGGTGGTAGTGACGCTGATGATGATGATGATGATGATGATGATGATGATGATGATGATGATGATGATGATGATGATGATGATGATGATGATGATGATGATGGTGATGGTTGATGGTGATGGTGATTGTTGGTGATGATGAATGATGATATTAATGGTGATGGTATGTTATTATTGTGATGATGATGATGATGGTGATGGTGATGATGATGATGATGATGATGATGATTATGATGATGATGGTGATGATGACGATGACGATGACCATGACGATGCCGATGACGATGACAAGGACGATGACGATGATGATGCCGATGATAAAGATAAGAATGATGACGATGGCGAAGACGATGACGATGACAATGACGATGGCGATGGCGATGGCGATGACGATGATGATGACGATGACGATAATGATGACGTTGACCTTGATGATGATGACGATGATGTTCATGATGATGATGATGTTGATGATGATGATGATGGTGGTGGCGATTATGATGATGGCGGTGGCGGTGGCGATGATGATGATGATACTGATGGTGGTGATAATCAGGATGGGGATGATGCTGAAGATTATGATGATGATCCTGATGATGGCGATGGTCATGATGGTGATGATGGTGATAATAGTGAGTTTGGTGATGATACTAATGATGATCAGGGTGGTGATGGTGATGGTGATGGTGATGGTGATGGTGATGGTGATGGTGATGGTGATGGTGATGGTGATGGTGATGGTGATGGTGATGGTGAGGGTGATGGTGATGGTGATGGTGATGCTGATTATGATGAGAATGATGATGGTGATGCTGATGATGGTGTGGTGATGGTGATGGTGATGGCGATGATGGTGATGATAACGGTGGTGGTGATGAAGATGATGATGGTGATGAAGATGATGATGGTGATGGCGGTGGTGATGATGGTGATGATGGTGGTGACGATTATGGGCGAGGAGGAAAAGGAGGGAAAGAAAACAGAAGCAGAAGCAGAAGCAAGAGGGGGACGGAGGAGGATCGGGGGTTTGACTGCACGCAGCCAGCCCTCCTGACGGCTGGACGCAGCGGGTGCTGGGAGCGGCAGTGCATCGAGGAGCGTGCCAAGCGACGAAGCCGAGGCTCCACCTAGAACATCCTAGACGCCTTCAAACCCCCATTGAACGCACTGGCAATCCGCCTGGTCATAATCTCACCACCATGGACATCATCATCAGCACCATCATCAGCATCATCATCATCACCATCACCACCATCACCATCACCATTACCATCACCATCACCATCATTAACATTATCCTTATCAGCATCATCATCATCAGCATCATCATCGTCAGCAGCATCATCATCAGCATCAGCATCATCATTACCTTCATCACCATCATCATCACAACATTCATGACAGTCTGTGTCCGCATCATCGTTGTCATCGGCATCATCGTCATCATCCTTATCGACGGCATCAGCATCCTCATCACCCTCATCAGCATCATCATAATCATCATCAACATCACCATCATCATCATCATCATCATCATCATAATCATCATCATCATCCCCATCCTCATCCTCATGCTCAACAAAATCGTCATCATCATCAACATCCTCGGCATCCTCACCCTCGCCCTCATAATCCTCGTCATCCTCTCCCTCCTACTCATCCCTCCCCCTCCTCCTCCTCCTCATCCCTCCTCCACCCGAGCCCTGCCTCCTCTCTCTCTCCACTTTCGAAGAATACTCTTGCATGCGCAGATAATCTGCCGACCCCCGCCTACCGGAGGTGAAAGGGCGCGGGGGGTAGGGAGCGGCAGGGAGGAGGCAGATCGATGCAGGGAGAGGGGTCGCAGTAGACTCAGGGCAGCTATGTTCGCGCTTCGCGCTCTGCGAAGCGCGAATCTCTTCGCCCTCTCGCGCCGCCCTGGGGGAGGAGAAAGAGGAGGAGGAGGAGGAGGAGGAGGAGAAGAAGACGACGAGGAATCGCAAACGGCGCACCGAGAACGACGCCGCGCCCTCGTGGCGGCCCTTGCCGATGACTGGCTGTCCCCAGACGGACGGCGACGACGGCGACGATGACGACAACGGAAGACGACGACGACGACGACGACGACGACGACGACGACGACGACGACGACGACGACGACGACGACGACGACGACGGCTACGACAACAGACGACGACTACGACGACGACGACGACGACGACGACGACGTGGACGACGACGACGACGACGACGACGACGACGACGACGGCGACGGCGACGACGACGAACACGACGGCGACGGACGGACGGACGGACGGACGGACGGACGGACGACGACGAGGACGACGACGACGACGACGACGACGACGACGACGACGACAGCGACGACGACAACGGCGACGGCGAGGGACGGACGGACGGACGGACGGACGGACGGACGGACGGACG